TTCTTAGGTTGGTCTCTTATAGACAATGCAGATAAAATACTAAAAAATGAAAAAATATATATGTTATATTATATATAGAGAAAAATATATAGAATATATTTATATATCCTATGAGAGATATAAGAAAGCAAGATTACAGATATATATATCTGTATCTTTATAGATGTAGATAGATTATAAATCTATGTATATTACAGATATGTATAGCTATATATCTATAATATATATAGATCTCTATATAGATATAGAGAGATATATAGATCTATATATCTATATATATAATATTATCTGTAATCTTGCTTTCTTATCTATTTAGCTACCTTATGTTTTTTGATTGGAACACTTAAGTCAATTACATTTAAAGTGACTATTGATAGGTATATGTTTATTGCTATTTACTTTTTAACTATCATTCTTTGTTTCTTCTTCTTCTTCTTCTTCTTCTTCTTCTTCTTCTTCTTCTTCTTCTTCCTCTTCCTCTTCCTCTTCCTCTTCCTCCTCCTCCTCCTCCTCCTTCTTCTTCAACCAGGTTTTAAAAAATTTCTTGTACTACTGCCTTGCTGGTAACAAACTCTTTTAGCTTTTCCTTGTCTGGAAAGCTCTAGTCTTTGTTTCTCCTTCAATTTAAATAATAACTCTGCTGGGTAAAGTAGTCTTGGTTGTAGGTCTTTGCTTTTCATTATTTTCATTGTCGCATGACAATTCCCCCCTGACATGAAATATTTGTGTTGTGAAATCAGTGGACAGTTTTATAGGAGCTGCCTTGCAGGTAACTAACCATCCTTTTCTTGTGGTTTTAAGATTCTCTTTGTTTTTAAACCTTGCCATTTTAATTATGACGTTTCTTGAGGTAAGTCTGTTTGTACCCATCTTGTTTTGGACTCTCTGCACTTCCTGGACATGTGTGTCCTTCTCTATCAATTTAGGGAACTTTTCAGTCATTCTCTCTCCTACCAGGTCCTTGGTCCCTTGCTCTCTGTCTTCCCCTTATAGTACCCTATGATTCAGATGTCACTAGCTTAATGCTGTCTCAAAGTTTCCTTAAACTATCCTTATTTTTTAAACTGTTTTTTCCTTTTTTTGCACTGATTAGGTATATTTTCTATATGTTTTCCATATTTCTGATTCAATCCTGTGCTTCTTTCAATATACTGTTTTTCTCCTTCTAGTCTACTCTTCATTTCAGATATTGCATTATTCATTTCTGACTGGTCCCTTTTTATTGTTTCTATGTCCTTTTTTTGCTAATGGATATATATCCTTATATCCATTATTTTGACCTCTATATCTGATAAAATATTTGCCTCCATTTTATTTAGCTATTTTTTCTGGAATTTTCTTTTCTTTTTTAGGTATTTTATTTTATTATTATTTTTATTATTGTTAAAACACAATTGTCTCAATTTTTCTCCCACCACTTCTCCCCAACTGAGGAATCCCCACTTCCAACCCTTGATCCTACACTACTTTGATTTTGTCCTTTATAAATATTCCTGCAAACCCTTCCCCCTTTGCCCCCTATTATCACCTCCCAACTCCCCTCCAGTTACTGTCAGTTTGTTCTTAATTTGAATGTCTCTGGTTATATTTTGCTTGATTGTTTGTTTTGACTAGGTTCTGCTTATAGGTAAGATCATACGGTATTTGTCTTTTCCCACCTGGCTTATTTCACTTAGCACAACACTCTCTAGTTCCATCCATGCTGTCATGAACAGAAGGAGCTCCTTATTTCTTTTTGCTGCATAGTATTTTATTGTGTAAATGTACCATAGTTTTTTTATTCATTCATATACTGATGGGCAATTAGGTTGCTTTCAGCACTTGTCTTTGTAAATGGTGCTGCTATGACCATGAACGAGGGTGCACAGATTCTTTTGAACTGCTGTTTCAGGGTCCTTAGAATATAATCCTAGCAATGGAATTACCTGGCCAAAAGGTAGTTTCATTTTTAGTATTCTGAAGAAATTACATACTGTTTCCCATAGTGGTTGCACCACTCTGCAATCCCACCAACAATGCACTAGGGTTCCCTTTTCTCCACAACCTTTCCAACACTTGTTGTTTGTTGCTTTGTTTATGATGGCTATTCATAAACAAAGCAACTGATGTGAAGTGGTATCTCATTGTGGTTCTAATTTGCATTGCTCTGATGGCCAGTGATACTGAACATCTTTTCATATGTCTCTGGACCCTCTGTAGCTCCTCCTTGGAGAATTGTCTGTACAAATCTTTTTGCCCGTTTTTTAATTGGGTTGTTTGTCTTCCTAGAGTGGAGTCACATGAGTTCTTTATATATTTTGGAGAAACAAACCTTTGTCTAGGGTATCATTGGCAAATATGTTTTCCCATATGGTTGGTTCTCTTTTCACTTTTTATTCTCTCTTTCATTGAATGCCGTTTTCTTTAGCCATGCAAAAGCATTTGATTTTGATGAGATCCTATCTGTTTATTCTTTCCTTTAAGTCTCTTGCTCTAGGGGACCTATAGTGAAAATATTGCTATGTGGAATATCTGAGATTTTCCTTCCTATGTTCTCCTGAAGGACTTTTATGGTCTCATGACTTATATTTAAGTCTTTTATCCACCTTGAATTTATTTTTGTGTATGGTGTAAGTTGGTGGTCAAGATTCATTTTTTTGCACGTAGCTGTCCAGACCTCCAAAAACCATTTATTGAAGAGGCTATTTTCACTCCACTTTATGCTTCTGACCACTTTATCAAGTATTATTTGACTGTAGAGACTTTGTTTTTTCTGGGCTCTCTATTGTGTTCTGTTGGCTTATGTGTCTGTTCATATGCCAATACTAGACATTTCTTATTACAGTGGTCTTGTAAAACAATTTGATATCAGGTATAGTGATTCCCCCTTCTTTGTTCTTTTTTCTCAAAATTGCTGTGGCTATTTGGGGTCAATTATGGTTCTATATAAATTTTTGAAGTATTTGTTCTGTATCTGTTCAATCCCTGTTAAAATACAACATTGGTATTTTAATAGGGATTGTGTTGAATGTATAAATTGCTTGGAGTAGTATGGACATTTTGATTATGTTAATTTTTCCAATCCATGAACATGGTACATGCTTCCATTAATTTACAGTGTCTTCCTTAATTTCTTTCTTCAGTGTTGTGTAGTTTCTTGAGTACAGGTCTTTTACCTCCTTAGTTTTATTCCTAGGTTTTTATTTTCCTTGTTGCTACATGAAATGAGATTTTTTCCTGATTTCTATTTCTGATATTTCATTGTTGTTGTACAAATACCTTCTATTTCTGAATTTTGACTTTGTATCCTGCTGTTTTGCCAAATTTACTTATTAGGTAGGGTAGTTTTTTGGTGGAGTCTATACGATTTTCTATATACACTATCCTGTCATCTGCAACAATGACAGTTTTGCTTCCTCCTTTCCAATTTGGATGCCTTTTATTTCTTTTTCTTGTCTGATTTCTGTTGCTTGAAATTCCAATATTATGTTGAATAAAAATGGTGAAAGCAAGCATCCTTGTCTTGTTCCTGATCTTAGTGGGAAAGGTTTTAGTGTTTGCTCATTGAGTATGCTGTTGGTTGTAGGTCTCTCATATGTGGCCTTTATTATGTTGAAGAATGCTCCTTCTCTTCCCACTTTGCTGAGTGTTTTTTGTCATAAGTGGGTGCTGTACCTTATCAAATGCTTTTTCTGCATCTATTGATACAATCATGTGATTTTTGTCTCTCCTTTTATTTATGTGATGTATTACATTTATTGATTTGCTTATATCATATCATCCTTGCATCCCTGGGATGAATGCCACTTGGTCATGGTGTATAATCTTTTTGATGTATTGCTGAATGATATTTGCCAGTATCTTGTTGAGGATTTTAGCATCAATGTTCATCATTGATATTGGCCAGTGGTTTTCTTTCTTTGTTGTGTCTTTATCTGGTTTTGGGATTAGGATGATGCTGACTTCACAAAAAGAGTTTGGGAGTTTTCAGTCCTTTCGGGTTTTTTTTGTTATGGTCTGTGAAGGATAGGGGTTAGCTCTTCTTTAAATGTTTTGTAAAGTTCTCCTGTGAAACTGACCAGTCCAGGGTGTTTGTGTGCCCAGAGTTTTTTGATTATTGGTTTTATTTCATTAGTTATTATTGGTTTATTCAGGCTTTCTGCTTCTTTATCCAGTTTGGAATATTATATTTTTTCTAGATTTGTCCATGTCACCTAGGTTTTCAAATTTCTTGGCACATAGTTCCCAGTAGTAATTTCCTACAATTCTTTGTATCTCTGTGTCATTTGTAAACTCTCTTCTTTTTTTTCTGCTTGTGTTTTTTTCTCTCTTTTTTCCTTGATGAGTCTGCTTAAAGGCTTTGTTGATTTTGTTTATCTTTTCAAAGAACCAGCTTCTAGATTAATTGATCCTTACTTAGAATTGATTCTTTAGTCTCATTGTTGTTTTATTCTGCTCTGATCTCAATTATTTCCTTCCTTCTACTTGCTCTGGGCTGTCTTTGTTGTTGTTCCTCCAGTTCTTGTAGATGTAGGGTTAAGTTGTTTCTTTCAAATGTTTCTATCTTTTTTGGGTAGGCCTGTATCACTATGAACTTCCCTTTCATGACTACCTTGCTATAGGGTTAAGCTCCATAGGGTGGGGCAGAATTCTTGTTGCAGTTGGGGCTATTGTTTCCCCTTAGGCTGCTGCTGCTCAATGGGGAGTGGTCTGCCTGAGCAGGATGACTCCTACTGTTTGGGGAATGACTCAGCACTGGGGTGACAGGGGCTGTTCTCTAAATTCTCTCCCTTAAGCTGCCATCCCCAGTCTCTTCTCAAGCCTCTCTAGTCTACTCTGTCCCACCTCTTTGACAGGGATCTATGTCTGAGGCTGTCTCCTTCAGTAATTCATCTAGTCACTCTGCACTCAGCGGTCAGGTTTAAGCACCACAGAGCTGGGGCAGAGTCTCTCTTGGGGGCAGGGCTGTTGTTTCCCTTCAGGTGCTGCCACTTGGAGGGGAGTGATGTGCCTGAGCATGATGGCTGCCACTGTTTGGGGGATGACTAGGACCAGTATCCCTGAGGCTACTCTCTCTGCTGTCTCCCCAAAGCTTCCATCCCCAGTCTCTCCTCAGGCTTTTCCAGCCCACTCTGTTCCTGCCTTTGCCAGAACCTCAGGTAAGTGATTTCAAATTATATTTGTGTGTTGGCCCTTTAAATGACTCTTTGCTTCTCCAGGTGTCTATCTCTGGCAGAGAGCAAACCTATGGCTTTTTGCCGCTGGTTGTTATCTGTGAACTTTTTGGGTATGGTGTTCTAGGCTGGGGGTCACAGCTTAGTGTTAGGCCCCATTTTTCTCAGGGGGATCCAATCAGTTGCTTAATTATCCCTCTGGCTCTGCCACCTGTGGGCACCCAGCCAGCTCTCTTGAGTCTCCACCGTACTCTTTACCAGACAGGTTGTGCCGAAGCTGGTTGTTCTGTATGTCCAAGGTCATAAGGCTTCTCTCTCGCTATTGTTCAGTTGTTTTTTTCTGGGTAATTTCTCCACAATTCCATATTGGTTCTGGGTGGAGGTTGGGGTGGCTTCCACTCATTCCTCTGCCATTGTACTGGCCTTTGAATGTCCTATTTGTTTTTCTTTGAGGCTTATTTTTATGTCTCCCCAGCTGGGTTCTTTGTATTTGTTTCTATGTATTAGATCTTCTATGACAGCAGTGTTTTGAGGGTGGCATTATGAAGTAGTTTTCATGTGGGTTCCAGAGTTTGATTTTCTTAATTATCTGAACTGGGTGAACCAGGAGTATCTCTTGTTTGTGTTAGGTGGGCCTTCTTATTGTAATTAAATATTGATTGCTATTATCTCGTTTGTGTTTGGGATCAACCTACAGGCCAGATGACTGTGAGGCTCAATCTCAATCTCACACTGTAAGCTGCCATGCAGGTTCTGACCACATGAAGTGAAATTTGCAGGGTTTTGTGTCACTACAATCTGCCTTTGGATATGTGATTTTAACCTTAATGGATTCTGATCTGCTGTTGTCTGAAGCTAGCCACTAGGTGTGTTGTTTTTGCTTTTTGGGGAAGGACCATGGTGCAAGCCAATATAAGATTCTGTGACTGCCCTTCAGCAACCTGTTTGGACTTACAAGTGACCCACAATTTGTAGCTGCCTCTGCTGTGCCTGAGTGTGAGTAAAAAGGACCAGGTTTCACTCCAATGGTGACTTTTACCAGTACCAGGTCTGTGGGCAGTTCTGTAGCAAATTCAAGGCAACCCAAGATCCACCCCTACCTGCCTATACCTGCTGGCTTCCTGTTAGGCTCTGACACTGAAAGAACCTCTGGCTGTACTCCTCAACAGGATATAAGCTCCATATGGTTGGGTGAGAGGCAGTCCAGACTGTAGGATTATTGCCTTCCACTAGTTTTATGCCACATGGAACAGAGTGCTTCACCCAAGAAAAATGGCATCCATGGTATGGTAGAATGTCTCAGCACAGGGATCTTGTCAAGTATCCCTTAAACTGTCTCCTCAGAGCCATAAACCCCAGACTCTTTTCATGTGACCCTAGTCCTCTGTACCCTCCCTTCACTAGAGATCAGAGTAAGTAGCTGTGAACAAAATTTTGTGCCTTGACTCTTTATAACAGTGCATGTACCTCTAGTGGATTCCTGTTTCTTTTTGGTGGACAGAAACCCTGCTGCTTTTCACAGCCAGATTTCATGTGGACACTGGCTCTGGTGCTCTGGGCTGGGGAGCCTGGTTTGTGGTTTAGACTTTATGTTTCTCAGGGGGAACCCTCCACAGATGAGATATCCTTCTGGAAACTTAGTGGCTATCCCTAGGAACAGAGCCAGCCATTTTTCACTTCTGCCCTTCCTACCAGTCTTGATATGACCACTTTTGTACTTCCTTGGCTATAAGATTTCTCTTCAGCTAGTCTTCAGTTGGTTATTTAGGATGATTGTTCTATAATTCAGTTTTAATTCCAGAAGGAGATGAGTGTAGCTTCTACTTACTCCAACACTATCTTAGATTTCCCTATGCTTAAATAGACAATGACGTGTATATTCACATACTATATGTTTTAATAAGCCGATAAAAGATTGGATCCACTATTCTGTATCTTCAGAATCCTGTCATAATTGTGGTTTTGACTTTCATAAGAAATATAATCTTAACCAACAAGTTTAAAATTTTCTTCTGGGTCTATTTCAATTCTTGCCAAATTTTATATGCATTTATTCATTTCTTAAGTTTATTCCTCAAAGAAAGAAGTTAAAATACTAAATATAAAATATAATAAACATGATATATGTAGAACAAGCCAATCTGAAAATAATAATCTCTGCCTTTACCTCCATCCCTAACCAAACTTTCTCTCATATGAAAAGCAGTTAGAGATTTTTAGGAAAGGATCATGAAGGTAATAGTAAAGAAGGTTTAAGGAAACTAAAATTTTCCCTTGGTAAGAGGACAAGAACTTTTTCGAATAGTGTCTATTTAATAAATAGATCTAGAAACTAACATGGAACAAAGCACCTTAAAGTAAGACTCATCTAGAGTTAATATTTGCTGATGGTAGATTTTTATTATAGCATTGTCTGACACTGTATGGACAACCCAGATATTGCAGCATATAATGGTTACCACACAGATGAAATAAAACAGAAAATAAAACAAAGAATTATAAGTTAATCAAATCAAACTCTATTAAGAGTGTGGAAGCAACTCCAAAAGTTTTTTTGTCAGAGAGTAGAAGTGATTATTTCATATTTGTGTTTGGATATAGGATACTTTTTTTTGTAATAGTGTTAACTGGAGTAAACTTAAAATATTTTTTGTGAGCTGATAATAAATAACTTGCAGTCAAACTTATTTGTAATCAAAAGATGAGAAGTTGAGTTCACTATTTTTGCCTGTATGATTGTGAGTATGTCTGATAATTTTTTTGAGTTTCAGTATTCATCTGTAAAGTGAAGATAAAAGTTTGTATAAAATTCATTGGAATGTTTGATTCAACTTACTTTTCATTTTGAGATTTCAACTAGTCCATGAGGTCTCTGTGAATAGTTTGCTTGATGAATTAATGTTTCATGATAATGTGCTTTCTGTAACAATAAAAAAATTAAGTATGTTTACTTGATTTAAAAAAATATTATTCTTCAGTGTCAAAGGTAAGGTAAATCTACAACTATATAACTGAAGGACTTTTCTACAAGAAGGCATACTTACTTAAGGGATTTGATTAATGTAGATAATGTAATAACAGGTACATTTAAAACACAGAGCCCCAAATATCATATTTACCAGTTAAGTAAACAAAGACAATATAAATTTTACCTTCCCACCTCAAAAGGTAGTAATATCTCAAAAAATTGAGTGATACATATGTACTTATTAAACAAAGCCAATTTCTTCTGTCAATCAAAGTGAATCATTTCAAAGTCTCATTTTCAGCTACATTATTTTAATATTTAACTACCTAAAATGCCACAATCATATTCTTTAGAAATGGTTAGACTACACTACTGCATCTCTAATGATAATATTTTATTATGATAAAATGACTTTATTAATTGATAATCATATATCAACTTATAAGGTAAATATATATTTTTTAATTTTTAAAGTTTTCAAGTATAAGTTAGTATAAAATCTTTTGGACTATTTGGAATTTTTTGAGGAATAAACATTTATGATACTTTTATTTTTACAAAGTTGTATGAACTTCTTTGTTATAAATTTAACTATATTACATGACCAGTTTCTTTCTCTTACAAGGTCTGTAATATTGATAATCTATTGGCATTATTCCTGAAATAACCATTAATATAATTAAAAATAGAAATATAATATAATTCTAATAAAATGATACAAGAAATGTCAATTATTGTTGAAAGGCTTGAATATTTTCTCCGGATGTTTTATTTATGGCTTTGGTTATATTTTACAACATGTAAATTTTTTAAAAAGTGCAATTGATGACTCTCTAAGATATTTGAAATAGGACCTTTTAGAGAAGTCAGTCTTGCATCTCTATTTTCTGCATCCTTGAAAGAACACTCACAACTTTATAATGAAAATAATATGAAAATGTTACTATACCAAATGTCACTATACCAAGGATGAAAATTAATACATTTAAGCATTACATGAAAGGTTTGTTTTAAGTTGAAAGTAACTATGAAGTATAAAACATCATTTAAACACAATTGTTGATTTCTGAAGCAACATCTCCTTTGTTTATAAAATCTTCCTAATAAATATTAATCATCTAGCATTCAGTTAGACAATCATTTTTTATGAAAAGAAACTTAAGATATTTTACTGAATCTAGCTTAAGTATTTTACTTGCATATTTCCATTCTTACAGGAAAAAATTGAATTGTATAGGGAACTTCTAAAAAGCATACAAATTGTAGTACTAACTTATTTAAATATAGCCATAAGCACTAAATACAAATATGACTAATAATACAAATATGGTGTTATATTGGACAATTAATTCTTATTAATGTAAGAATATACCTCTCATTCATTGAATTGATCTGTTGAATTGGAAAGGGCATAACTCATTAGTTTTTCTTTTTTTAGGATTTTATTTATTTATCTTTAGAGGGGAAGGAAAGGTGAGAAGGAGAGAAACATCAATGTATGGTTGCCTCTTGTGTGTCCCCTGATGGGAACTGACCTGCAACCCAGGCCTGTGCCCTGACTGGAAATTGAACCACGATCCTCTGGTTTGCAGGCCTGTGCTCAATCCACTGAGCTACACCAGCCAGGGCTCATTCTTTTTTTTTTTTTTTTTTTTGCTATCAAGAGATAGAATGTGCTCAATTTAAATTTGAATTTTGAATACATAATTTTTGAAAAGAAAACAAATATTGTAGTGACATTTTAAAAACTAATTGTGAAAGCCCATTTCAATTTTTATTTATGGTTCGTGAATTTAAATGAAATAACATATGCAAAGCATATAGCATAGTCTTTTCTGTATGACATTCACCCAATAAATAATGAGTTATAAAATTTACTATTCAAAAACCTAGGTCTAGCTGTCTTCAGAATTCACAATATTTCTGATGTTAAAAGGTAATACAGAACAATCTTAAATGACTTACATCATTTTATAAGCTTCAAATAAAGCATTGTTGTATGTATGTGTGTATGTAT